CCAGGGTGCTAAACACACACTGTAACCAGGCAGGTGGCTAAACAGAAACTCTATTAATAAAACGTAAATGAAGTACACAGATCTCCTTGCGGCTTCTCAAGTACTGCCCCGCCCAGGAAATTGGCTGGATCAGGCACTCCAGGAGAGAGGGGATGGAAAGGAGAGCTACTTTGAGATTTCTACAAGGCTTTGACTCCAAGCAGCTCAGGGGCATTAAGGCCGAGGTACATGCTAGGTGGGCAGAAACCTGGGTGCCAGTGGGCACTTTCTAGTACAGTTTTAGACATGTTTAGAGGTTGGAAAAAGCTAACCGTAACATTTACGCTTCTCTTTGGACGAGGCCCTGAGCAACCTGATCTAGTTGGAGATATCCCTGTTCCTTGCAGGGGGGTTGGACTAGATGACCTTTGAAGGTCCCTTCCAGCCCTAACCATTCTATGATTCTATGATTCTATGATTCTTTGGATTTAACATATAAATGTTAGGTATCTAAGTGGACCTAAGCATCAGAGTTTCTAAAAGGTTTGCTACTTCAAATTCTCACAAGAAATCCTGGTTCTTTGGCGCTTTGCTGAGCTCAGTCCAAGACAGGCATACGGTTTTCTTTTTCTTCTTTTGTGGTCCATTCAGTGACCCTTAGAGCAGTTCCAAGAGTGAATGGATACCTGAAAGGCCTTTAGACTACGCTATGTAATTCCGGAAGGGTGTGGCAGTCTCGTTGATTAAAAACATAATTTATCATTTCAGATTGACTTACTAGTGGGCTGTTCCATATCCTTTTGTCTTGGTAAAGCCTATTGATATCGCAACCACCAATGCTGGTAAACCTGGAAAAAAACAAACCAGTAATAACCATTAGATGCTGAACAAAATATTGCTGTTCTGCCTGGACAGAAAATGACAGGGCAAGTTAATGCAAAATGGCCAATTTTACATGGAATGAATCATTTAATGAAGCACAGTGCCACTGCAGGATCTGTTTTTCTGAAGCACTGGCAGGAAGGAGGACACTGTTTTCTGCCCACGGCGGACCACTTTGATGTAGCTAAATTACTGGTACATTTAACAGGCCTTAAAGTGAACTAGGAATAGGCTTCATGAATATTCAGTGAATGTTTTTCTTGTTTTATTTTGATTTCTTGATATTACATTATTTGCTGAAAATCTTCTAAAATTTTGTTAAAACATATTTAAAAAAGAATGCTAAAATATACACCAGCATTGCTTGATCTTGAGGTAAACTGGAAAGGCTCCTAACCTAGTTTTGTTTCAGTACCGTGCTGACTACTGTCTTTCAGGTTTACTGAAGAAGATGATATTCTTGGCATTGTCGCTGCATTAAACGTTTCATTCCAATGATTCCGATGAAACAAATTTTATGGACTTACCCCATCCAAGGCACAGGAAACGTTTCCTTATGAGCCGTGTCCTAATTTTTCCGGTAACAGCCATATATGACTGCCACGCTTCTGTCAAAACCCAACAGAATGAAGCTAAGAAGAAGAAGTGTAAAAATGCCGTGGTTGTGGTGCAGATGCCCTGCAGGGAGCAAAGAGAAGCTCATGCTGAATACTTAGGGACACTCATTTCTCTTTTCAATTCAAAGAGTTGTCATATTCTATCATCTTGACCTTTATTCTTAACATCAACTCCCCCTTTATGACGTGGCTGCCACAGAGAGAGAAAGAAAGAATGATGTTGATGTGGATTAGGCAGAAGAGGTTTTGACTGTTTTCCCAAATACTGAGTGTGCAGAGCAGGGACAAAGAACACAAAATAAATCATGCCACCAGATTTTTCTCTACACATTTACTTTGACCAGGGATCATCATAAAGCCATTGTGGTAAGCAAGTCACAAACTTACTAATTATAAAATTTAACAGAGCTGAATACACAAAAGCTCCTAATTGCCATTTATATTTTCTTTCCCTCCATGCAGAGAGACCCTGGCTGTAAATCTGAGTTTAAGGCAATAGATTATATTTTATTTATTTTATTTTTTTTATTTAAATCTTATAGAATGTTAACGTATTGGAATAGACTGCCTAAGATCTCTTTAGTCAGGTTTAAGTATCATAACCTTAACAATTACCCTGGAAATAGTTTTTATTGGTGTCGGTCATTTGTCATCTGAACAGTATTTTGAGCACATGCAACCAGCTTTCTTTTGTCACTGTAGCCCTTAATTAAACTTGACATTATAGCTCATATAAATGAGCTTCTTGGCATAAATGATGATCTGCCCTCCACTGTGTTGCTTAAAATGCCAGTTGCAGAACCAAAACCACACCAGTGAAGTGGAGAATATCCTTATCACAATTTATCCTTATCATAATTTGAAGTGTCAAAATTATACCAAGGTGAAAAAAAAATATTTCACACACCCAATATTAACAATGCAAAACTGTAGTTGACAAATGTAGATACTATTTTTGTGATTATTTCTTTATGCTGCATACAAATCTGATAGCTATCTTACTTGCATGTAATAAAAGATTAGTCATTTTTTTAAACTAAAATCCCAGTTCAGCAAACTATTCAGGGACAAAATATGCAAGTGCTTAATTTTATAGGTGCTTGCATATATTATTGAAGCAAGACTGGTAGCTACAAAAATTTGGGAAGGATATGATATATATGACACCATACATGATTTTTAGTTCATTTTATATTCCTAATTACTTCCAGGTCTTTTTGTTTTGAATTTTCTACTGGGTTCGTTTTCTCAGATTCTTATCTGAAATAAATGTGTTGGTTCGCTCCATCTCAAATGCATAGCTGATAGCTGATACTGACCTCTGAACTTTCTAAAATTTATGCACTTGAGTAAAAACTTAATGATTTTTTCTGCTATGAAATTAGAAATGTGAAAACACCTTCTTTTCTAATCCTGAGTCAAACTGTCTATTTAAATCTGGGGGAAGAGAGTTCTATATAATTATATGTAAGAGAACTATTGATTATTTTTAAGAAGCAAAGAATGTAAATTGGAAAAATCCAGCAGATCCTGAAAATGCACTAGTAATTCCATTCCAGATTTTGCCATCAATTCTTATGTTTAGATGTCCCTAAAGTACGTAGATTCATAAAATCTTTCCTGTTAAAGCCTGACTGATAGCAACGTTTCCTGTATATGAAAAAAAATATACCTTATTTAAAATTAAAGCTATGCAGTGAAATGCATAATAAATACAATAAAAAATACCGAAATGTCCTTTCTTTTACCAACTGGCTCATATTCCCACTATGCAACTTTAATATGCTTTCCTATAAATGTTTTTGTAAAAGATAGCACATTCTGTTGGAATGAGAATTTGACAATAAAATGACTTTCGAGGAATAGAACAGAATCTTTTAGGGAGAAACTGCATAGGTAAAACACAGTATTACCCTGAAAAGAATGTAAATACACTATTTCCCTTATAAATAATGCAAATACAAACAAATCCTGGTCTTTTGGGTGAAAGATTTATGGCTGACTGAGTATAGACGGTAGGATTGAGTTCATCATTTATTCCCTGCTTTGAAGGAAAGATAGATGATGATAATCTGACACAAATGTGGACACGGCTGTGGTGGAAGAAAGAACTGTGGTGGAAATATTAATGATCATGTTGATCACAAAATGAGAAGACAGAAGCAAGTTTTATTAGAAGCTACCCGTGCTTTGGCTGGAATATATGACTGCTGATTATAACTTACTCTTCTGAATGACAGACTGGGGTCTTTGATGAACACTGATGGTAAGTCTATATCACCGGTATAACTGTATATTTGCATCACATACCATCAGAAAGATGCAAATCAGCCTCAAAACATCACCTAACAACTGCTGTGGGATTGTGATGATGGAATCATGTGCAGGCAGAGCTTGAAGTGAATTCAGTCTCCTTCCTTCCCCAGAAAGGAAATCCTCTCTCACCTCCTAGGTATAGCCATGGGCTCAGCATGGTTGACCAACATCCTCTTGGAAATCTGGCTTTTATGTACTTCTGTATTTTTCCCCTTCGATAAACAAATAAACAAACAATGCTGTCCTGTCTAGGAAAGTGTTATATCTGGGAAATCTGTTTCCAAATACGAACAAAAATTAATTTTCAAGAAAGTCTATTATTAAGTGGGGCATTGAGTGTCTCTAGGTCACTGAGCCACAATTTTAGCAGGTAGTTAACTGGTATTTTTTTCTTTCTCACCAGGTCATGGACTACTCCCAATCTCTCCTCCCTCTCCTCTCCTCCCTTGCCAAGGGGACGCCACCTCCCCTCACCTTGCTGCACATGCAGCAGCATCATTAAAACCTTCTGGCCCATCAGTCACAGAAAACTGCACTGTGTCAACCTGTCAGTGCCAAGAGACAGCCGTACACATCTTCCCCATTGCTTTAGAAGGAGGTGTTTCTTATGTATTTCTAATTCTAGTTTATTAAAACTCACTGAATTAATTACCTGTGCTGAGCACCTGTCAACTTGCAAGAAAATGAATTTTAACAGCCTAATTCTAACAGCCTAACACTATTTCTTCAAGCTTCTGAAATTAAGTCAAGGCTGTTACTCTAACCTCCTCTTCCTCCTATTGCTGTTGTTTTCAGCTCCCCATATTTAATTCTAATTACAAGTGGGGGAAGGGATATTTTCTGTCCTCAGAATGCACAATTTCATAAGCTTTAATTGAGCCTTAAGTGTTTAGCTACCTTGGGTATCCAACTAAGACCATTCACCCCTTTTTAATAAACAACATACTATTGAAAGCAAGAGCTCACATCAGGTATCAAATTATTCCTTCTTTCATTCTTGTAAGACACCCACTCTGAATGAGGGTACTGAAGCACCATGGAGAAATGTAAAAAACAGTGCAAATTCAAAGCTACTTATTCTAGCAATAGTTTCTTAAATGTAATAATGCTGAATATTATAGAGAACATTTATCCTTTTCTATGAACTACAAAAAGTAGATCATAAATGCAACCTCAAAATAATAATTTATCATTATTTTTGGAGCCTCTGGTTGTTTGTTTTGTTTTGTTTTGTTTTGTTTTTAATAGAACAGTGCTTTTTTTTTAATAGCAGTGTGAACAGATCTTCCACACAAAGACAAAGATGGTTAAGTAAGGACACCTGATTTGTCTTCTTGCCCTGAAACAGGTTCTTTTTCCTTCAACAAACTAATTGCCTGTCTCTGGGTTCTGATAAATAGTATAAGAATCAAAACTACTGGAAAATGAACATAAAAAATGAAATCTATATTGGTGATAGCTAAATGAATAGGGCTAAAATCCACTCAGCTGGATTTTGTCATGAAGTAGAAATGAAAGCTAGTAGAGAATCACTTAAATAATGAAATTCCTTGGAGAATTGCCCTTGATTTAGCTCCGAGGAGATAAGCCTAAGCAGATAAATTAAATGGGTGCTAATTTTATTCTTATGAAGTTCTGACCATGCACTGAATACATAAACAAAGAGCACTTAAAGACCACAATAAAGAATATATGAAACAATGAACAAACAAAACAAAGAGAATGCAAAGGACATAGCAAAACGCAGAAATACAACTCTATGTCAAAACATATATTTTATTGTCTTTTTATGACTCTCAAGTCCTTAACTATAAAATAGTTTATCTTTTCCTTCTTTAAATTAGCAATATAAATTCATAAAGGAACATATTGCTTATTACTCTTTATTTGCTTTTTAATTATTATTTATTTTTAAAATTATTTGTACAACACAGTACCTTTGTCTCAGGAGTGGCAGACACTGTCAGAATACAGGGATACAGTATACTGGTCAAATAATACTGAATTCTAGATTGAATCTTAATTTCTAGACTAAACTGCGATGAATTAGTAGATAGACTTTCAGATGCTGTGGGACAAAGAAGTAAGAGTTTGCATCTCTGGAGTGTTTTTCTAGAAAGGAGGAAAGATTTTCAATGACACAAAAATATGGTAAGGAAGACTGTCTCTTCAGTTGCAAGCATATTTGAAACTGTTAGGATCTTAAAACACCTGAGAAGTCATAGCTGTAGACTTTCAGGTTTCCCTTCCAGGATCATTAATATTACTGGCAGCATAAAGCTTTGAAGATTCATTTAGAAACTCCCATGTTCTGTTATTTTGCCAGGCTTGAATACTGCTAACCCTACTTGTTAAAGCAAAGAGTTGAGAAAATCTGATACCCTAGATTGGAAATTGCACTATAAGGGAAGGAATTGTTCTAAAATAATGAAATTCATATTTTAAACCAACAGCTGTGAAACTATTTACTTTAATTAACTATAGACGAACTTCTAGATCTTCCAAAAATCTTCTCCAATGTACTTAGAATTTGAAGGCTCAAGTGGTTTAATTTCATCACATTGTGTTCTGATATCTGACATGATAACCCAAAATAATTAGCATTTGACTTCATGAACATTCATGTGAAGAGATATGCACAATTATTCTACTGCAGGATTCTGCATGATGTACAAGACAATGTGAATAGTTACCCTTACTTGGATTTTTAGAGCAAGCTAATTTTTTAGTGCAACAGCAGT